CCGATGACCGGGGTTGTGGACGTAAAAACTGCACGTGGAATTGGCAACACGCGAGGCTGAAGCTTCGCTCGGTGCTCTGAATCCTGACGTGAGTGTACAAAACTAGTCAACCTTACTAGTTAGTGGCTATTCAAATAAATAGAAAAGATGTGAAAAATAATCCTTGCATTGCTTTACGTGCTGTTCTATGCAATCCGACAGACGGACGGTGGTCATAAGCTCAATGTTTTTGCACAAAACATATTGTCCATTGAATTAATCGACCGTGCAACCTTATGCTGCTGGGATTAACGTCATTCATGTGCCGAGGCACGGCGACCTCAGGAAGTGGTTACACACAGCATAAAACCAGTTCGTAGGCCATTGTAGTGGACTGATGACCTGCTGGCAGCCGGTGAAACAGCTGAGCGGCAAGGCAACCGGGGCTGCAGACGTTAACTGCCGTTCGAGGTCAGGGCGATACCGGGCAGGGAACAAAAATTTAACCTCGTTCCTTCGAGCCCCTGGCATTTTTGGAAGAACGCGTTTTCCCGAGAATCCATACACAATATTCAATACACATCCCACTACCGTCAATCATGCTTCAATAGCCGATGTCGGAACGATAAAACACGTCTTCTTCCTCCAGCTCTGCAGCTCGATGTATATATGTATAGGAGCAGACCGCGCTTCTCATTCCGCTCCTCACTATACCGCTATACCTTCCCTCGACCTCGTCCCTCAGGACCGCAGTGTCGACACGGCCTGTGGTGTACCCAGCGCATGGATCTCCCATATTGACGACCAGTATCCACCTGCTGCCCGCTCCCCGGGGACAGGTAGAGTGGAGGGCCATCGGCAGGAACAGCCACGGGCTATGTGATAGCGGAGACTCTTCTGGGCTGCAACTTGCAGAACTCCATACGGTAGATTACGAAAAAAAAGACAATACTCGTGCTTTAGTTACAATTTTTGGTTTAATGCCATGACATAATTATTTTATAATTCCTAAGTCAACCTAATGTCCTCTCAGATCGTTATAAGCTTTATGCTAAGATATATCCAACAACGCTTAAAATTTTGACTTCGAGCGTAAGGGCCGGTTCGGTCAAGTCAAGGTCGTTTCCTGGACCTCAGTTCTCCAAACCGTAGGCACCACCAAAGCTTCAGACAGCCGAAAACTGTGAGTTGAATATCAAAGGAAGCGTTTTAGCTTACAAATCATTTGCAAGCGTCACTTGAAGAAACGAGATCAAAGAACCTGAAGCAAGTGAGACTTATTACTGTAAATAAGGATCTGCGAAAGCATTGACTAGAAATAGTGGCATGAACGCCTGCAGACGTCGAATGATATTGTTTTGCTATACTCTTCACCTTAGCATTATTGAGATGTTTGGCCCGGATGTAATATGAAAATGAACGGGTCAGCCAACGCAATCATATGCCACACTCAGCCGTCAGTTGGATCTCATCGTTGGCATTCCGTTGCGATAGGACCTCACGTGACTTCCGGCTGCCGTTGTCAGTACCCAGTTCTCATACGACTCCTTTTAGTCTGCCGCCGAAACATGAGCCGCCCCCCCCCCCTAAATCCACCCTCCCCAGTCTCCGGCAGCGACCGACTCGACTGGGCGGGGATCGATTCGGGGGCGCCCCGACTGCCGCGTGCGCCGGGCCCGCCACTTAGCACCGACAATGGCTCGAAGGCAGCGCCGGGCTACGCTCCCTGTATCGCGGCCAACCCAAACACTCCGCGCCCCGATCACGGCAGATGATTCATGGCCAAGAGCAATAATCGGCCAGTGTCCGGCTCGATATCGGAGCGGGAGAGGCGCCCAGGGCCCGCAAACAAGCGGAATTGACCAAAATGAGCCCAATTAAAACCCCGCTAGTGAGAACGGTTCAGTGGAAGTTTTCAGCCCAGCGGGCTTAGCAGTGACGTCTATTGTTGACAACACGTTTCCCTCCCCCGACCTTGCCCTTTCCCTTGCCCAGCTCATATATGTACCTATTACTTGTCATAGGCAGGTGAAGGCAGACGAGCCGCATGTTATGAAGATCCGGCGCGGACGAATCTTCACTAGAAGTACCTAGTTATCTACCTGCAGAATTTCCGAGACTGATGCTCTCACCGATCGCATGAAATATATTACGAATGTCATATGTTACCGCCTTCGGCTCAGTTGGTCAATTTTAAACATTTTTTTTGCGTCCATTCTCTGCTACACGAGAGGATGTATAAGGGATAAAAAGGGAAGTCGGGACGGTGTCACCCCCTGGCCCTGAAGTAGGTAGCGCGCCTTCGGTGCGCCGCAGCAGTGCCTAAGCCCACTTCGTTCGGACAGCGGACGGGCGGGTCCCAGTGGGAAAGGCCCAAATCTCTCAAATAGTCACCCCGGCACGGACATTGCCCCGGATGCCGATGCGATTTATCGTAATTTTTACTGGAGCCGTCCTCCCCGCCTCCCATAAGTGAAGCCACCATCAGCACAGGACAGGGAAGCGTGATCATGGATAAGGAGTGGACCCTAATATACGGCCTTGGAGTGGACCACAGGATAAAACTACGTAGGATTAGGGTTTGGCTGAAGCCGCGAACTCATTGACATACACTAGGCGGCGGAACGGGGAGGGCACCGGGGCACCGTGCCCCGTTTTATTTCGGCATTTTAACATTAGCCCTATGGGCGTTGCATGGAAAGAATGGGATCAAAAGTCGGCAGTGTCCCCCCCCCTTAAATGAAGGTGTTCCGCCGCTACTGGACATGCACACGACTTAAGTGCCGCTATATTTTCAGTATTCTCGGTGCAGTGTGGTGTCTCACTTTCCACAGCTTGCTTTCAAATGTTATTTCCATGATTATTGAAACCCCTTTTTCTTTAATTTAAAACTAACATGAATTATCTCTAAAAAACAATTTTGAAAGAAGCTATGATCAAAACATATAAGTATAACAATTAATAACAAGTAACAAGTGTACCGTTAAATTGCAATGCATCGCACAATTTTTAGGCCTTGGCCAATTTAGCGGCCTTGTTCCTTTTTCTTCAATACCATCTTTGCCACCGATAATGACGCGTCTGATTCATTGGTGATCAATAGGAGGTTGCATTGTATTTTTTTTTCATCAAAAGCTATAGTGGTTTTGATAATTGATTTTCCGATTTGACGTCAACACCGCGCATCCCACAATAGTCCGTGGTCGCTAAACTTCCACTTCATTCTTTTTCAGAGCTATTGCAATGTAAAGATGAGGTGCATTTATTCTGGCACCACTTATGTCATGTAAGGTCAAGGTAAGTCTATTTAATAATCAATATGGTATATCCAACAGTGAACATTATCTTGCTGAAATTGATTGATGCCATGCCAGTTACATTGGAATGGAATTGAAGTCTGTAAATTGAAGCATCTGGTGCTGATTATCAAATGGATATATTTCATTGACGGCCTCCCCAGTCGGCAGGGGCCTTACTAACAACTGGATGAAATCAGCTGGCTGGCTAGCTGGTGAAGTATGATAGCTATGTTATTTATTGATATGAAAATGGTAGAAGATGGCCATGAACACATAAATTAACAAGCTCTGCTACCGCCACCATACGGTGCCAGCTGGCAAATTATCCAGATTGAGATAATAGTATGGCCATTGGCCAGTCGGCAGCCACCTTTGCTATGGTAGCAGTGACCAACCAGACCAGTGGCCTGGCCTGGGAGCCTGCCCAATACCTGGTGGCACATATGGGAGTGGCATTCCTATGGGAAGGTAGCAGGCAGCACTAATCATTACCTCATTAATTCCACACCAAAACCCTCCTAGGCCTAGGCCTACCCTCTGGCCTCTGGATGAAGGACGCCATTGCCATTACAATCTAGGTATGCTAGCAATGCCACCTTTCTTCTCAAAATCTGAGAAAGGAGATTCTGTAGGTATCTATTTCACAAACCAACTCATGCCTCATTTAAACAATGACTTAGTTTAAATACCTGATATTGATATTTAGTCTGATTTAGGAAACATGGCATATATGTAATGTTCAAATGCTGAGCTCCCAAAACAGGCACAATATAAAAAACAATTGTACTCTTGCATGTATCAGTAGTTCTAGTTGCTGGAATCTTATGAAAGATTAATTTTTACAAGGTCTTCAGATAACTCATCAAAACAAGGATGAATGAATTTTTGCATTTAGCTGCCTTTTTAACAAAAGCTCAAAGTTTGTTTCAACATCTTGATATGTATTTGTTTGTGTTTGGAGTTTGAACAATTAATTTCCATTGGCACCTACAGTCATTGAAAACTGTTAATGATAATGCTTCTGAGTTCTGACATGAACTGACATGAGTAGCAATTGTGTCAGCTAGGATCATTTGTCAATGTATTTTCAGTTAATGTTTTTATGGCTGGTGCAAGGATGGAATACATATAGATACTAATTTAGTTAGATAAGATGAGATGCAGGAGTATGCATTCAATGTTTTCAAAAATATGCTCATCAAACATTGGCTGCATTTTTATTTGGTAATCTATGGGACAGTTTTATTGGTGAGGGTAAGTTGTGTTGAAGAATAAAAGTTTGTGTGTTTCTGGTAAATTATGCAAGGCATCAAAAATAAAATAAATCTGATTGATATGCTTTTGATTCTCAGTCTAATCTATTTATAGACTCATATCAGTCAGTACCTGCAGTAAGGGAAGGGATTCTCTTTCAGACCATCTGAAAGGCAACCCATAGTCCTGAACTCTTATTACCTACCTTGACTATAAAAATTACACGCATTAAGTTAGTTTATTGCTCTCACACAGCTGAAGACTGCTCTCGCAGGTATGGCTAGCGAGAGCAGTCTTCAGCTGTGTGAAGACTGCTCTCGCTAGCCAATGGCTAGCCAATGGCTATCCCTCCATTCGCTGCTAGCCACCCCCTCCCTGCCCGGCAGCCCGGCGGTCGCGCGCCGCCCGCCGCCCGCGGTGGCGGTGGCGGTGGCGGGGGCGGCGCGTCGGTGATGGAGCGGGCGGCGGCGGCGCCCTGCGCGGCGCTGGCCGTCGTGCTGGTGCTGCTGCTGCCCCAGCTGACGGTGCCGCTGCTGACGCTGCTGGCCCTGCTGCTCCTCTGCTCGCTCTGTCTGGCCACCGGACTCGTCCTGCAGGTATGCAGGATAGGGATCAGTGGTTGGACTTCAAACCAACATAGACGCATTGCGGTGTATGAAAGGGGCGCATTTGTCGCACTGCGCGTCTCTGAGGACTCGGTAGGAGGGTTCAGTTCAATTCAAAGGGGTTTAATGCTATCTTTCAGCTACATATGATCGAATTTTCCCTTTGATGCACTTTTCGCGCGTTTTAGTCGTATAACCATACCAAAGGCACCATGTGATTGTCACAGGTGGTCATAGACATATGTTGACATCACACAGGTGTTCACTGTCTGTAACTGGGTAAATGGTGGCGACTGTTGATTAAACATACCTACCTGCTAACAAACAGACCTCCGTACTCGTTCTGCTTCAGTACTCCATCCAAAAAGGTCACTGCCCAACCGTTCCCACCTCGCCCCTGCCCCCTCCCCTGTCTGACGCCCCCTCCCCCTTCAGTTGCTGGGTCGGCGCCCGCTGCCCTCGGAGCGCTGGGGGCACTACCTGGACGAACTACAGATGCTGGCGCACCACGCGCTGCCTGACCAGGTACCGGCGCCGACACCGACAGCCAGTCCTCCGCCGGCCGCGCCGCCGCCCGAGCCGGCCGGGGATGCGTTCCAGGCAGAGCTGATCGGACTGGTTGGAGATGTGGAGCGGCAGTACATCCTGAGCTGGTGAGATGGAGGGAGGGACGAGGGAGCCAGGTCGGGAGGGAGACACTGGGGAGGCGATGGGGTGAGGCGTGTGAAATTAAAAAAGATTTAAGAATTTTGAGTGATGGTAATAACAACGCTCTGAGTGTTAGATTCACGGTGCTCTCGGCTTAATGTTGATGTGTGGATGCTGACAAATAGACTCCTGTGGGTGGAGGAATGTGATGATGTTAGCTTTTATCAGAGCTGAAATGACGTTGAAACCGCCCTTGCCCGCCAGGTACACACACATCAGCCGCGAGGTGTCGTTCCCGCGCCGGGGGAAGGCGCTGCTGGATGACGCCGTGTACGAGCTGGCTGGCCGGGCGGCGGCGCTCAGCCCGCGCCGGCTGCTGATCCGACTGACCCGGCTGGGCCAGCTGCACTACCAGCAGTACCGGCGGGCGGCGACCCACTGCGGCCGGCGGCCCGTGGAGTCCTCCTACCGACCGCGCCATCCGGTGAGCCGAGGAGCCGTCACGGAGGCCGCCTACCTGACGGCCGTGGCTGGGAGACTGATCAGGGACCTGGTGCCCGTCCGGCTGCGGCTGCAGGGCTCGCCCGAGTTGTGCCTGGCGCGACTGCTAGCCGCCAGTCTGCTGCGGTCGCTGCTGGATCTGGTCAGTGATCCGGTGGTTCTACTGCGTTGGATACTGGAGGCGCTCTCCGAGCCGCCGGAGCAGCCGCAGCTGCCCACAGAGAGGGACCGAGCGCCGTCACTGACTGTATCCGAGCCTTCTCTGACACTCACTGCCGCGGAGCCGGTCCCCAGCTCTGTGCCGGATATAGACGCGGCGGTCTGCGGGGTCCCAGCCGCTGCACCTACAGCTGATCCCGCCACTGCCACCGCTGCTACCATCACCCCTGCGACTTCCCCGGCCTCCCCGGCACCTGTGGCCACCATGATTACAGTCACCGTGGCCGACAAGGCATCCCAAACCCACGACGAATTCATCGTGTTTCCGCTGGCGAGTCGGTCACGCACAGCCAGTCCATCTTACACTGTAACCCGGCCAGCGGTGGTGCAGACGGCCCGCTGCGGCACTCAGACAAGACGCGGCACGCCACGTCGGCGCCGCGAGCGGCCGCCCGAGCCTGCTGCCGACGCCGCTCTGCAGGTGGCACCCTGCGGCCCGTTCGCCAAACTGTGGCGGCCGGCGGCGGTGCTCGGTGACCCGACCAGCCGGAGTCGGTTCCCGTTCGGTAGCGATGAGGTGGTGCTGGGGATTACGGAGCAGGAGTACCGTCAGAGACTGGACGCAGAGGCGGAGCGTATGTGTCGGGCCCGGGAGCGCGCGCGTCGCCGCCGCCGGCGCATGCAGCACCGCCGGAGCAGCAGTGTAGGGGACGTGGTGGCGCTGGAGCCGGCGCCGCCAGGCCGGCCGCCACCCGCCGCGGATTCGGAGACGGTGCTGAGTGCGTCCCGTTCGGCGTTTGACCTGAACGCGCTGGGTGTGTCTGGAGAGGATAGCACAGAGTCACGCAGGAAGGCCAGCTTGGTCCGCGAGGGAGCCGTTCAGAGGAACCCATTGAACAGGGCGGATGAGATCGACCCCGCTCCCACGCCTGCCCCCGCCGCCACTGCAGCTCCGTCGGTCGGTCTGACCGTCCCCGAGACCCGGCCGAATGGACAGGACCAGGTCAGTCCCGGCTCGGCGGTAGACACCGACAGTCGAACTCCTGCAGACGCCCGGCCGGCCGGGAGTATCTCCCGCAGTGCCAGCAGCGACAGCATCCCAAACAGGGCACGTGCAAAGTTCCAGAGCATGCTGCAGTCGGCGGCGCTGGGTATCTCCAAGAAGGCGCCGCCGCCACCAACCAACCGGCCGCCGCCGGCGCTGGCTGTCCTACCGACACCGGCGGCAGCAGCGGCGGCAACGGTGAGTCCAGCCTCCGCCGCCCCGCAGCAGCCTTCCGGAACTTCTCTGTCGACCGAGACGGACCGACCGCCGGTGAAACCGCCCCCATCGGCTTCTAGCCTGTCTACGACGGTCACCTTTACCGCGGGGCCGTCTCCGAGCGCTCCAACTACCACTCCGGCTTCAGCCGGCGGCTCGGTGTCCTCCCCTCCTTCGGCAGCCGCGCCGCCGATCTCCAGCTCCCCAGTCTCGTCCCCCGAGTACGAGGAGGCGGAGGACTTTGCCGGTACGATCGCCAAGCTGCGCGCCGTGCTGGAGGAGCGTCGCCAGCTGAGCCGCAGCAGTCTGAGCAGCAGTACGGACACCCCCAGCTACAGCAGCTGCCCTCCGGCACTGCCGCCGTTCGCGGAGGACGGGCCGCCCGAGCCTCCACCCCCGCCCCCGGCCCCGCCGGCGTCCGCAACCTCCACGGCGAGCGGCAGCGGCGCGGAGGCGGTGCGCTCTGTGATCGATGGAGTTCGACAGAGACTGTTTAACCGAGACAGCAGCTCGGCCAGTTCGACCAGCTCACCGGGGCCGCGGTCCCTGGACGGACTGCAGCGGGACTCGTCAACTTCGCTCTACAGCAACAAGTCCGGTGAGTCGGCGAAATTTGGTGGCGACGCTACCGCCGGTTTTATAGGGCTATAAATCAACAATGTGGTATATTCCAAATGCAGCCAGTTTTTTTCTCGTTTGACATTAGTGCATGCCCCTGTGTCGCTATCATCTGATTTTATCTGTTTGTTTCATTGGTACCAATCACAACGATCTCTATCCGCACCGTGCCTCGGCCACAGCTTGTTCGCTTATTTCATCTATCTCACCTGTTTCTCACCGGCCTGGCTCTCACAGAGCGTGAGTTGGAGCTGGCCTCTCTGACCGAGGAGATTATGGAGGCGGCTGAGCTCCCCATGGACGGACGCATCTTCATCAACGTGGTCATCAGCGGAACGGAGACGGTGCGAGAGCGGGGCGGCGGCGAGTACACCCTCTATACCGTTCAGGTGAGTCAGACAGTGCAAACGGTGACACTCACACGGTAACGTTCGTCCGGAGGACAGCGTGTCCCGGTCCCGTAAATCACTGATCATATTTGCCTCATCATGGTTTGAGAAAAGACTGCTCTTAAGGATGAATATTCGAAATAGTAGCATGCAAATAGCCATTGCAGATAACACTTCGAAGAACCTCAGTTTACATTCAAGCGTGCGATAGGGTACTGCCTTGTTGTCTCCGCTATTGTTGACGTATTCGCGTATTGCTGACAAACCTGACCGTCTCCGTGCCGGGCGCAGTACGACGGTCTGTACCTGGCGGCGACGGACGGGGAGGACGGAGTGGACCCCTCCGAGACATCCATGGTGCTGAAGACGAACGTGGTGCGTCGCCGCTTCAGGGAGTTCCTAAACCTGCACTCCCGACTAGAGGCCAACCCCGAGTACAAGCACCTGCTGAGAGGTGAGTCAGCCCAAGATTACAGTCAGCTCAGCTAGGCTGCGTTTCGCGTCTGTGATGTTTTACAAACTTTTTGCTCTATACCGAGTAATATACATACATTCGTGTGCTGTATGTTTGGAAACGGCTATATGCAGAAGGACCGGGCGCACACGACACGCGGCCAGGTAACTCAATCAAACATCGTTCTGCATTCATGGTTTCTCAGGTTATAACTGTTGCTGTCTTCGCTGATCGCCCGGCGTTTGTCCAAACGGTAATCCATCCACCCACTGTTCTTGGCAGGCATCAAGGAGCCGAACCGGTGGCAGACACTGCCGTTTAACCGTCTGGACAACGCTGCCATCGTGTCCCGTCGCACCTTCCTAGAGCGGTACCTGTGTGAGCTGTGCGCGCGGCCCCAGATCTCCACCAGCGCCGAGCTCAAGGAGTTCATGGCCTACGAGACGGACGGCAGCATCGCCTTCATCAGAAAACCGGTCATGAACGTGCCCAGAATCGATCAGGTAAGGAAACTGCGAGAAAGATGAGGGGGCCACTTTGAGAGACTTGGGGATAAGGACCTGTTTTTTGTCGTTATGTTGGTTGCTGAAGTTACGGACATGCAGTTTATTGTTGAACCCTGATCTGCACATGTTGGCTTTTGTCATGTATTTCCTCTGCTCTCGCATCAAGTTTTCTACTCTGTAGTGCTTCACGCACATGCTTGTCTATCATGCCCGGTGTTGAATGTAGCCGTTGTCTCAGTGTGTCGCTGACTTGCGTTTCGTCCGGTCAGATGTTCACCAAGACCATGTCTGGTGTGCTGAAGACGATCCGCACGGCGCTGCCCAGTTTCGACAGTCACGAGTCGCAGCGGAAGAGCTCGACGGAGGAGCCACGCGCGCTCAGCGTCAGCTACAAGTACAACGTGCACGTCATGTGCGGCACGGATGAACAGGTGAGGGCTGTGCTCGGTGCTCGCTGGTGGGTCCCTCCCATGACTTACCTTTTCTTTGTAGCTCCGATCACTGTGTACATTCACAACTACTATGCAGTGTCTGTCGTCCGTGGCCGCTTGCCCCTTGGTATGCTGCCATTGTGTACAGGCGCCACACTATAACACGTCACCCTCACCCCACCCTGTGTTTACAGATGTCGCCGGTAGAGATGCGGCTCAAGGACCTGATAGTGGACTGGGACAAGCTGTCGGCGGTGCCCCTACAGAGGCCGCCACCCCCGGCAGGACCGGGTGGAGGGGACCGCCAGGACTCGGACCTGTCTTCTGAGGACGGTGGGTGCGGGGGGGGGGGACCGTGGGGTGGTTGAAACTGGGTACTGTGAGAACTGGACCTGGTGTTATGCTTACTGTTCATATCATGGATTAGCGGTATGTCAGTATCAATGACGTAATGTTATCGCTCTTGTCTCTGTGTAGAGCTTCCGTCTTGACAGGGACCTTCTGTCTTTCAGAGGTGTGTCAGTATGAACACCACCTACCTCTCTCATCTGCCCTGTTGGATCTGTGTGTGGAGGTGCTGCGTCACAACGGACACTGGGCTGCCAGCGGACCGGCCGTCCGCACGACCAAAGTAGTATTTGGCAGGCTACTGGAACACTCACTGCAGGTGAGCTTGCAGCACATAGGTATATAGTTTATAACATAACTGTGGGTTTCCCTAAATTATGTAACTGTTAGATAATGTGTCTCCATATCTTTGCTAAATTTCGCCCTGGTTGAACTTTCTTTTCTTATTTTAATAACACTTTGTAGGTAGCCCGCTTTGTGACCCTTTCAAGCGCCCATCGTTATGTTCAAGCTATGCTACTCTACCAGCCATGTGTCGTCCCGAATCGCATCGTGTCTCAGGTACCTTTACGTTTCGGACCTGGTTCCGTCCGTATCTCCAGTCTATCTTTATTCTAACACACTCTCTCCTCTGTCAGAGAGTGGTGGACCAGCTGTTTGGTCCCGCCGCCTGTGTCGACTACCTGCGGATGGTGCGACAGGCGCTGTTTTCCGCTGAGGCGGAGCCGGAGCCGTCCCGACCGCCCAGCCCCGGCGACGTCCGGGCAGAGGTGGTCAGCGCCATCGTGGACGCATGTGGTGAGCGAGGGGAGGCCGTGGAGAAACCAGCGGGTTAGTGGCAGGGGAATGGAGATATGGATGTTTTTGGTGTTCCCTAGTTGGTTGGTTGGTTGGTTGGTTGAATTATTCCGCCCATTCAGACGGGTAGCGAGCTATTGCCACCGTGTCATTGTGAGACTTTGTTGTGCTAGTAAACGCTGGTTTACAATATCAGACAGCGTTCCCGGCGTGTCGCGAGTCACTGACCGCTGTTGATGTTTTGCCGCAGGTCCGGCGTGTCTGGCGCTGGGTCGCGACACGGTCACCCTGGTGGTCTCCAGCCTTCTGGACTCGCTCCAGTCCGCCACCATCAACCGCGACCTGGCCTTCCAGCTGCTGGACCTGCTGCTCCTGGAGCTGGTACCCGACCTGGGCTCGACTGGCTGAGGTCAGGGGTTACCGGGATGAGATATTCAGGGGTCACTGGACTGAAGTCAGGGGTCGCGGGATGAGATTGGAAGGCACCCGGGTCATGGCCTGGGCCGCCGACTTCAAAACTGGGAAGGATCGTCATAAGATGTTTAGTACGATAGGTGCGGGTACTGGCGCCCCATGTGATGTCCTGTGTGAGGAGGAAAATTTTGTTATAATTGTCAGCTGTGGCAATTATCTCAACAAGGCTAGAAGAGTTTATTTTGAACAGATAGGTGAAGACAGCTTACCTTTCGTGCTAGATTTCGAGATAGTTTTTAAGTGTTGTATGAAAAGGCGAGAAGTTCCTTTGTTCAAGAGGAGAGATGCGATGTGTTTTGAGAAGTCGGCATTCTTTTAAAAATCAAAGTTGGTGTGGTATTTATCAGTCTTAGTTCATCGTTTCATAGAATGTAGGCCGTTGGGCAGCCACATACTTTAGAAGAGTTGTTTGTTTTCACTTGTTTCCGCTACAACATTCCCATCTACCAGTCATCGTGTACGGCCAGGCTCTCTCCTGGCCGGCGACTGTCAGCTGGCAGTCACCGCCCCGGCCCGCCACGCTTCGGTCTGTCGGACATGTCGGACGGCGGCGCAATAGTCTCAGAGACCTGTCCCTATCTATCCAGCGGACGGTGGACGCTGTGAAACCTGCGTTGCCCTTGATCGCCCTCACCCAGTCAAGGTTCCTTCTCCGCTCCCCAGCACGCACAATATCACCCCAGATCCCAGTCCACGGGGTTATCGTCTCCATACGCACACGCCTGCCACAGCAAGACTGTAGTCGTTATTGTCTCGGTGCCGATGGGAGGTCACTGCTGATTGGAATAGACAAGATGTAGTGTAGCACCAGACTCCCGGTTATAGGACCGGAGAGGCCCTCCCTCAGAGGACGAGAGCGTGTCTCTGGCGGTCGGAAGTCGGGATGGGCTAGTACCCCGTGTCGGGGTGGCGTGGCTCTGCCAAATACGGGCATATTATGCTAAGTCAGCTCGCCGTGTCATAGACAGGGGCATGTGTATCGTGTGTGGTGTTGCTGCGAATCGTAGCTGCTAGCTAGTCGGGCGGAGCGGGAGCTGCTCTGGCGCCCCTTCGGAGGGCGGCTGGGCCGAGCGGGAATAGAGAAGCCTCGTTTACCCTATCCTATTTACAGTATTGAAAATATCCTGTATGTGTGTCGTACCTGATATATATTTAACCACCGAGATGTGTTATTATTATTACCTGTATGGTGCCACCCCCGACCGGGCATATGTATCCATTCCAGTATCATATCCTGAGTATTTTTATTATATGGGATAGTGCTAATATTTTGGTATGCATATATGTGGGGAAGAGCCGCTGGACGGCGGACGCGATCGCGCTGTCGTGTGGTGTTCGATGGCAGTGTGCGCCATGTTCCGTGAGCCGCTGTGCGCGCTGTCCGTAAACCACTGTGCGCAGCTGATTTGAGGACGTTGGCTGGCCTGGGCGGCGGGTAGCAATAAGACAGCCTGCCACTGACTGTGCGTCTCGCTCTGCACCGGCTCCTGTCCTGTCCTTGCTAGTGGTCGTTATATTCCGGCAGCGTGGGACACGAACTGTGACAAATGTCAACCGAGACCCCTGGACCTCTTGTAGAAACTGGGAGCTGGAGCCCAGCCTGCCGTCGTGTCGTGTCGTAGAGCGCACAGCTTTGGTACCGTTCGCCAATGTGTCCGGTGTGCGCCCTTCTGTCGGTATCTGCTCAGCTGGTGTTACTGTCGTGTCCCCTCCAAACTGGCTGTCCTGTCGTGTATCTCTGTGATCTGAGCTGAGCTGAGCTGAGTGCTGAGCTGAGCTGACCTACCTAGTACGTCCCCCCTACCTGTGCCGTCGTGACCTGACCTGACCTGGCCCGTCAGTCTCCCTTGCTCAGTGGCATCCCTCCCCACCGCTCTCCGACCGAGAGCTTCCAGTGCAATGACTCCTCGCTGTGAAACGGCCACGGACTAGCTCATGTTCTGAGGCGGCCACGCCGCGACGGCCCTGGCACTGCAACTGATTCTTATCCCTGATTGTAGCTGCTTTCTGGTAAATCTGTCATTCCGTCCTCAATCTGCTACCATTTGTAGTCTCCCTCTCCTCCCAATCCTTTCCTCTTTGCCTTCCCCTCCATTCCTCTTCTCTCCTCCCTTCTCCCATCCTTAATCCTCTCCCTCTCTCTTTCTCTCCTCCCTCTCTCGTCCTTTGCCTCTCTCTTTCTCTCCATCTCTCTTTCCTCTCCTTTCTTCCCTTCCTTTCCTATCTCGCCTTCCTCTCCGTCCTTTCACTGTCCCTCTTCCCATCTCCCATCCCTTCCTCATCTTTCTTCTCAACCTTCCCTCCCCCTGCTGGTCGTTTCCGCTCACAGTGCTCGAATAGACTGTACCGCCGTGTTGCCCGTGCTGCGCTGGTGTTGTCAAGTGACTGTTGAACTGAGCTGCCCGACCTCCGAGGTCAAGAGACCCCCTGCTGATAGTCGTTGGACGCGGCTGGATATCTGCCAAACGGCAGACAATGGCTCGATGTTATGTGGGAACAGTGTTGATGTTATATGGGGCTGTCAATGTAATACAGGGAATATACGTGAATGTGATATCGTGACATGCGTTTGGTTCCTGGAAAAGATCAAATGCCAGAATATAGGGTGAACGGTGTAATTTAACGATTTCTCTAATTAAGATTAATCATCGAGCATTCTCGGACACCTCACCTGACTGCTTCAGTGTAATATAGTCTACCCAGTTACACACACAATAACGCTACATAGAGTTGTGCGAAGATAAAATCCTTGCAATGTTTCTACGAAGAACATAAGCTCAGTCGATATGTTTATAGTAACCAATTCCGTCAACTGTCCCCAATACACACTGGGCCCAACCCTATTACATCCAGCACGTATTTAACATTTTTTCCGCAATGTTACTCTTTGTTTTATATTTAAGGCCACATTTTTGTGCTACCGTGGTGTGTTACATTGAAGTCTCCTTATTGTGCTACTGTAGTATCTTCTATTGAAGTCCCCACCCGTGCTGCTACTAAAAGTGTGCTTTTGTAGTTCCCGCCCCGTTCTGTGGTTGTAATTTTCTGTCAGTCTCGCGTGGTCTTAATTTCATGTTACTGAAGTCTCAACCGCTCGTGCTACTTTTCTGTTTGCTGTTGAGTTTTCCACCACGGTGTTTCTGTGCTGTTTGTTGTCGAAGTCTCCATTGCTCATTGTTTTGTTACTTGTTGTTAGCTTTTGAAGTCTGCGGCGCTGCTGTGCTGTTCGCTGTTGAAGTATCCACTGTTCGGTGCTGCTATGCTGCTTGCTGTTGAAGTCTCCGCCGCTTGGTGCTTCTGTATTACTGCTTTTTTCGCTGTTGAAGTCTCCATGTGTTGCTGTCCTGTTTGTCGTGAAAGTCTCCACCGCTCGTTGCTACTGTGCTGTTTGCTGTTGAAGTCTCCACGTGCTACTGTGCTGTCTGCTGTTGATGTCTTCCTGTGGGATCCGTATGGTATTTTGTTGCGTGCTGTTGAAGTCTCCACTGCCCGGCATTACTGTCCTGTTTACTGTTGAAATCTCCGCCGCTCGATGCTACTGTACTGTTTTCTGTTGAATTCTCCAAGTGTAACTTTATGTACTGCTTGCTGTTGAGGTCCCCACCGCTCGGTGTTGTTTTGCTGTCTGGAGTTAAAGTCTCCACGTGTTGATGTGCTGTTTGCTGTTGTCCACTGCTCGGTGTTACTGTACCTACTGTTTGCTGTTGAGTTATTTACGGTGTTCCTGTGTTCATTGTTGTCTGCTGTCGAAGTCTCCACCGCGTAATCATACTGTGTTGTTTGTTGTTTGAAGTCTCCACCGCTCAGTGTTACGGTGTTTCTGTTCTGTTTGCTGTTGAAGTCTCCGTCTCTCGGTGTTATTGTGATGTTTGCCGTTGAAGTCTCCACGAGGTATTGTGATGTTTGCTATAGAAGTCTAGCATGCGGTGTTACCGTGTTTTCTACTGTTGGTGTTTACGGTGCTACTATGCTGTTTCCTGTTGAAGTCTCCATCGCTTGGTGCTACTATGTTGTTAGCTGTTGAAGTCTTCGCGGTTTAAGTGCTGTTTGCTATTGAAGTCTCCACCTCTCGGTGCTACTGTGCTGTTCGCTGTTGCAGTCTCCGCCGCTCAGTGCTTCTGCATGTTGTTTGGTGTTTACATTTCTATAGCTTGGTGCTACGGTGATGTTCGTTGTTGAAGTCTTCTCCGCTGTGAACTACTGTACAATCTGTTGTTGAAGTCTCCACCGCTGGGTGCTACTGTGCTGTTTGCTATTGCAGTCTCCACTGTTCGGCGTTTCTGCGCTGTACGCTGTCAAAGACTACCGCTCGGTGTTAGTGTGTTGTTTGCTGTTGAATTCTCCACCGCTCGTTGCTGTTATGTTGCGAAGCAGTTGCGACTTGAGTCTCCATTGCAGCCCGCGGTGTTATGACAGTGTATGCTGTTGCAATCCCCAAGCCGTGGCAGTTTTATGTGCCGTGTTGGTTTCTGATTTTTTTTTTCATAGCTACGGCGATATGGTTGCGTGCTCTGGAACGACCGTAGTCGCTGTCACGCGGTGACGGGTCACTGGACGTGACTGTAATCACTGTCGAGCGATGACCGGTCACTGCTGAGAGCAATGAACTCGCCCCTGGCGCGGCAGATGACTCCGGTCGTGACCGCCTCCCGCCGGTGTCGTTCCCCTAACTGCAGTCTCAGGTCGGCGGGCCGCGCCGGAGCAGTTTCTACTTTCTCGCCGGTTTCCTGTCGGCCGGTGTCGCGTGCAGTGCGCCGGCGCGTCCCGAGCCGTCCCGGCGGCGCAGCGGAACGTGTCGTGACTGGAGACATCTCGACGGGCGGGACGAGGGCAGAGACGGCCCCGTTCCGGCCCGCTGGCCACACGAGTCGCCGACACAGCCGCCAATAATGGGGTGAAGGAGATCGATCGAAACCCGAATAATCAGACCAGCCGCGGGGATCGGAACAAAGAATATGGAACATCGCTGTGGGGATGACTGCGAATTGGTCATCGTCCTTTGTTGGAGATGACTGAGCAAAGTTATACCGCTCGGCACGTGTCAGACGCAGAGCGATGTCGTAACGCATTTAGGAAGCATAATTCGTGACATCTATCCTGCCACACTCCACGATAGTCCCCGACTCCTTCAGCCGACCACACCCTCCGAGGCGGTGTTCCGACCTCTTCTTCCGGCGAATGTCTGTGAGTGTGACACTTCCCAGCCGGTGCCAGGAACCCTCTCGACGTGTGCCTGCTCCGGGCAGAGGAGGGGCGCGCGGGGTGTCTCCTCTCTCTACCTCTCTCCGCCCAGGGCGGCCGACCCGGCTGGCCCCGATGTGCGCCTCCGTCGCCGCAGCCTCCGTCGCCGTGTGGCTCGGTTTCCCTGCTCCGTAGACTGCTCTGACACACTTTGTCAGCTCAGTGTTGGTGTGATGCTCGAGCTCGACGGTCGCTCGATTGGCGGCGTCTGATAGACGACAGATAGTCAACATGTGGCACCCGATATGGCTGGTGACGCTCCTCTGCGCAGGTAAGATCAAATTACCTACGGCTGGACTGTGGTCTGCCGCCGATGTTAGCAATAATCTCATTCGAATTAGCGAGAAGTGAAGAAGTGTCTCTCCCCCTCCTTACAGGGCGAGTGCAGTCAGAACAACTTCATGTTGCGATTTGCCAAAAGTGCATTTATATTTGTGCATTGATCTGAAGTGAAACCGGTAACCGCCATGATCTATCGGAGAAGGATTTCGTTCACCTTACGGTATTGGTCAGCTTGGCACATACCGCCAGTAGTTAGTCATTCTTTGCCTTCTGTAGCATATCATTTGCTCCCAGTCATTTCCCTTCGCCGTGCGCCAGGTGCCGTCAACGGTAAGCAATGGCCGGGGAAGCTGCGGTTCCCCTGGCAGAAGGACCGCGACAGCTCGCGCTACCAGGTGCCGTGCGTCAGCAATGGCAAGTTCTACCGAGACCCGAACCGGGACCCTGAGCTAATGCACACCAGCGACAGCTGCGCCCAGTACTATCTCTGCATCGGTGAGTGTTTATAACTAACTTAGGTGTTATGACACTTCAGTTGTAATGGAGCGGGTGCCCGGATGGTTTCGGGCAGCATCTCGAGGTTCTACCTCTGCATCGGTGAGCAATTACAATTCTGCTGCCGTCCTGGGCTTGGGTTTCAGTGGATATATACGACAGAGGGCTGGGGTAGTCACTCAAAGCATGCTATAGCGGTAGTTGGTGCGATATGGGCCGGGTCAGGGATGAGAGCACTGTATGGCTGAAGGCATGAAAAGTATCCCACCAGTCAGGATGGTGTTGCTGATTTGTGGCTTAAAGTTGTGTTTATTCATACCCGACTACCCGTCCTTTCTTCTTCCTTTTTCAGATGAAGAAGTGTACGAGTTTAAATGTTCCCGAGATCTAATGTTCGACATAGACCGTCAGATCTGTGACTTCAAGGCCAAAGTGCGCAACTGCGGAGCAAATGTCCGTAAGTACCGGTAGGGTTACGGGTTCGGGTGGGTTTCGTCTGTGGCTAACTTCGGAGAGTCTCAGTGGTTAGAGAGGCTGTGGTCTCGCACCGTTTCTCTTTGATAGCGGTGAAGATTACCACGCGATGCTAATAAAGCATTTATCACAGCCATGAGAGGTGGTCGTGACTCTCTCCTTAGGGCTCTTGATCTCTCTTTCTTCCTCTCCCTCCTTCCCTCTCGATCTCTTCTCTTTCTCTCTTCAGTTTTATTCACCAGACTTACAATTTTCTCTATAATCGCGGTTAGATATCAAATGTAGCACCACACAGACACATTGCGATATTGCAATTACTACATGCATAACACCTATGACACACTCGTGCTTCTGTAACGAAAACCGACATTAACATGTCGCTCATTGTTTCCACAGAGATGACCACTCCGAAGCCGATTTTGAACACGATCGAGCCCATCTGTCCTCAAAACCACCACGCCTGCGGCACGGGCGACTGTATTCCTGCCGAGCTCTTCTGCGATGGGCAAAATGACTGTCCGGACAATAGCGATGAAGGTATGCTCCTCAAAGTTCAATAGCGATCACCGAATCACCACATATTTACTTCTCTGCACTCGAATGATCGTGGCACAATAGCTTTTCGAACGAACTCCAGTGTGTTGTTTTACATTTGAAAAATTTAACATGCATGCATTTGGAGACTGTTTTTATGTTCTCCTTGTACTGATACTTGTAAATGTCTTGTGTGACTGACTGTGGTCTGATTAATATACACCGCTTAGTCGATTTGTGGTCTATTGTTCCAACTGAACTCTCCTGAACCATGAACCACTGAACCATGTGACCTCGTCCCCGCAGGCTGGTGTGACCCGGAGCACGACCCGAACGCCGCTCCCAAGTGTAAGTACCAGAACTGCACTCTGCCCAGCTGCTGGTGCTCTACCGACGGCACCCTGATCCCCGGAAACCTGGAGCCCAGCCAGGTCAGTGGAGCGTCATTTGGAGCTCGCTCAGATCAGTAGAGCGTCACTTGAGTGTCACTTAACTCTTGAGTCGAGCTAGGTCAGTGGGGTGTCGCTTAGAATCGGGTCAGGTTATTAGAATGTCGTTTGGAACAAGCATTGGTGCGTAGGCAGCTGTTTTTAGAGTCTAGTTATTTGAGCGGAACTAAGCCATTGGAAACCGGGATCTGCCAGCGGGTCGTTATATGGAACCGACGCGGTTATGGTTGGGCTAATTTACAAACAATGCACATGCAAACAACTAACAAGCCAAATGGAGGTCAAGTTTAATGCAAAGAGGTATAATACCACGGTATAGGTTAAGTGAAACTCGGGAAGTAGAAAACGTGGCCACGTTATATGTTAATGCTGGTTGAAGTAGCGGGAAGCTGATGGAACTTTAAAGTACGTTATCGCATTTATCTTTTTTATCACTTTGTATTTCTGTAATAATATCAGAAAGCTAAATAGGCACTCATGATTCCCTACGCTTTCAGACTCGCGTAACGCACTTAAGTGAGGCAATAAGTCACTCACGCCTATCGTTTCAGGTCCCGCAAATGGTCGTCGTCACTTTCGACGACGCCGTCAACTCTCAGAACATCGACATCTACAGGAAGCTGTTTGATAAGGAGAAGCGTAAGAACCCGAACGGCTGCCCATACCACGCCACCTACTTCGTCTCCCACGAGTTCACCAACTACCGGGACGTGCAGGAGCTGTGGAACCTCGGACACGAGATCGCCGTGCACAGCATCACGTGAGTCTGGGACTCTGGATCGCAACAAAGCAGCAGCTCTGACAGTCAGTCCGTGTCAAAGAGGGTGTTGGATGTCAAGCCCTTGGCAGATTTCGTTCACCCTGCGACGCATGGATAACTCAATGAAAGAACGTATGATTGAATGCATGCATGTATGCATGCATGCATGCATGAATGAATGAATGAATGAATGAATGAATGAATGAATGAATGAATGAATGAATGAAGGCGTGAATGAATAAGCGAATGAATGAATTAAATGAATTGTAACTCTTCGCGAATGTTAGACATAATTTCCTTGAATGGCATAAACAGCGATAAGGTCCTACTAAATCAAAGGTAATCCGATGGGTCTCGTGATTGGCATGATTACCGATCCTGTATTATTTTCACAGTCACCGTAAGCCGGAGGACTGGTGGACCAACAACGCCACCATCGAGGACTGGTTCGATGAGATGGTCGGCCAGGCCAACATCATCAACCGCTACGCCGGAATCTCCATGGAGGACATGTGGGGTCAGTCCGTCTTTTCCCGAAGTCATTTTCCTAAACTTCTTAAACGACCAGAGTTGTCTTCCTAAGCGACTAGCCTTATTGTTTTAATCAGTCTGTGATAAAACGTTGTTTCAAAGGAGTGCTTGCCAATTTGCCGAACGAAGTCTTTTATGTCCCATGCATGCAGTCCCATGCAACAAGCAGTAAGTAACCAGCATCCCAAGCACCTCGCCCCAAAGCCGTCATTTTGTGACACTCTTCATCCCCTCTCCCCCTCAGGTATGCGCGTGCCGTTCCTGCGTGTCGGCTGGAACCGCCAGTTTGTGATGATGCAGGAGTTCGGCTTCGTGTACGACTCGTCTGTGACGGCTCCGTACTCCGATATCCCCTTCTGGCCGTACACCCTCGACTACCGGATCCCGCACAAGTGTGTCGGAGAGGGAGTCAAGTGCCCGTCGCGGTCCTTCCCAGGCATCTGGGAGATGGTGATGAACCAGCTCAAAGTGCACGTGAGTAGATTCAAGATTGATCCGACAGTTAAGGTACAACTAAGGGATCGTATATTTTGCCAAATTGTCAGGGAACTCAGATTTGTTTTTCAATAGAAAAACACAATTCTAAAGAATAGTGTTTTAACTATTGACAACAAACCTTCGGTTATGTATCAATTAGGTGCAACTGCTTAGTTTCATACGAATCAAAATGTTAAAGATTATGTTAGCTTCTCATAATGGTACTATTATTTTATTTGGTAGTTAGCACTTTTCTCAAGCTTGTGTTTTACTTAACATGCTATCGTACTCTCTACCTAATAAGGCAATTTATCTCAAATTTAGGACAGTCTTATCGAGACCGAGAAACTGACTTCCGACTAAGTGAGGCTAGCTGAGAACATTACCTCAGAACCACTGGCCACGATTTTCAGGAATACACGTGTGCGATGGTAGACAACTGTCCGCAAGTGGAGGACGAGGAGGAACAGTTCCAGGTGTTCATGAGCAACTTCAAGCGCCACTACACGACGAACCGGGCACCGTTCGGACTCTACTTCCACACCGGATGGTTCCAGAAAAAGTCCAACCTCAAGGCCTTCTCCGTGAGTATCACTCGAACGGTGGTTTGTCCTCTTGTTTTTCATGAAAAGTACGGCAGAATACACTGCCTTACATCAAGTTGACGTAAATGCTGCCATCATGACACTAATTGATTTTTAACGACGTCGTTTAAACCTATAAAGGGCGATTAGTCTTAAATTTATGTCTCAATTAAACCGGAATGCTGCGTTGCATCGTTATTCGGCACTGGCCATTGCGATGCTTGACAACAGCTCCTGCATGCACGCTTTGGTGAAAGTTTGTCCAGCACTGTTCGTGAAATGTGTGCAGTTTTGACAACTGTCCGGTGTTCAGTGTCCACGCCCTTTGCCGATCGGTTGTGCTGTTGGCTGGCTGCGACCCAACTGTTGAGTTCTGAATTCTGACGCTCCCGTCCCGCATACAGCGTTTCCTGGACGCCATCGGTCAGATGCAGGATGTCTGGGTGCTCAACAACCGTGAGGTGATCCAGTGGATGAAGAACCCCAAACCGCTGGGACAGATCAACCAGATGGAGGAGTGGAAGTGCGGCAAACAGGTCAGATATTCCATTGTTTGTACCAGAGGAGAGTCAGTCACAGCAAAATTGAGCTGTGACTCTCGGCTTGCATGGTTTTCGCGTTTCAGAAATTGGGTAATGGCTATTTGTGTGAGCACATACTGAATATGGAAAGCGATATCTTTTTTTTTTTGCTGTAACTGTTGGATGCATTTCGTTTTTATTTGACCCACTCGTGCTTCACTTGAAAGCATTAATTTATATTCATATCCTTTTTCGACATGCGTATGAATTTTGAGCATTTACCTGTTTTTCGTCATAGCACGCTTATATTATGTGCATCGTTTGTAACAGAGAACATTTTCCTTAAATCTTCCCAATTTAATGGTGAATTTATCTTTTTTTTCAGATTCCGCTGGAGGACAAGGCGTGTAACATTCCCAACACGTGCCACGTTCGGAGCCGCGTGCTCCGGACGGACCGTTACCTGTACACGTGCTTCGAGTGTCCCATCCACTACCCGTGGCTGAGGGATGAGTTCGGAGTGGACCTGTGAGCGCTGGTCGGCACGAGAAATGCTATAACGATACTCCAGTATCACCAACCTGTTACGACCCAATAATGGTGATGCTATGAAATGAGGAAACCCACCGCTAAGGCAAGCGAACTAAGTATTGTCAGTGATCTAGAACTATGGAGTAAGATTAATGATACATACGCAGTTTATAAGGATGACGGAGGGACACATCAGATAATTGATACATCGTACCGTCTACCGAAAGCTCATGCTAATTTTTAATCATCAGCAATTTGCTCTTGCGTGAGTCAGTGACTGGTGACTCCGAAAAAGAGCACTGGGGGCAATCTCGAGTGACGTTTTTTCGGCGATTTGAGGTCGATTTACCTTTAAGCTCGTTTTGGGATGTTATGCGAGTCGTACGGGCGTGAATGTAGCCTGCTACGGCGTTGAAATGCGAGTGAGGAATTGCGCAGTATTTTATTGCACCAACCCTAAGTTATTGGTGTTGATTGTTTTATATACTCAACACGCACATGCATCTGCTTAGTGCTGCCTTTGTTGTTACGGTGTTGTTACGCTGATGTTGCGAGTTGTTATGGCATATTTATGAAGTTATCGGGAACGTGGACACTGGTTGCGACTATCAATAAAGGCTTCAAAAGCGTCATGTGGGTACTTGAGTTTTATTTGCTTGGATAAAAAATGGTAGTTGCATGTCATAAGCCATCGTGTAATCGTTAAATCTAAATTGTTCGGAACATGGCGGGTGCTTGCAAAGTTTGAGTGAGTTGTAAGCACAGAACCTTGAAATATCATTCATTAGGTAGGTAATAATTGAATACTGAATTGGGAAATTACGTCAGGGACCACTGACCACCCATTAGGTTATTTCAATCGTTGAATGTATCAAGCAGTTTTCGACAATGATCTTTGATAGGCACCTAAGAGCGATGAATACATCCGAGATGTGCTGTGCTTCGATATATTAAAAGCTTTGCCTGAAAATGAATAAAAACACAGAACAACTTTGACGGTTTTTGCCCTTCGGAGGCCAAGCTGATGGCCTTAGGTCAGATCAGAGGGCACCTTAGCGAAAGACCTTTAAATGGGTTTTCAAAAATTTTTCTGCGACGTCCTAGCCCTAATATTTCGTGAGCTAGGCAATAGGCAATAGGCATGAACCAATTTGTCGAATGGTTTCAGAATGGGAAAAATGTGATCTTTGATGATCTTTGGGTACCTGACCGTAGACTTGAAATTAGAAATAACCTATAGACTGGTTCATCTTTTAACGCTCTTTCAAACACTGCAGATCACCTGCTGCAAAGTGTTTGTTTGTTTGTTTTGTTGGGTTAGGCCCTTTCGGTCGACAAGACCATTGCAGAGCCGGAAGGATGATAGGATTTAGGGGGAGACATTGGTCTGGGCAGGCACCCTAGTGAGTCGCCGGGGCTGAGCCCGTCCAGAGGACAGGCCACCCAGCCCCAAGGCACTCACTGCACCCGGCTACGGGGTGCGCTCCCTCAGGAGCAGCGGTGCCGCTCCAAGGGAGCAGCCCGCATGAGATAAAGTTGCCTGTCCAGCCCGGAGGGGGGTTGCGGCGTGGAGGAGAAGGATTTCAGTATCCTGAGGATAGAAGCATGGAAAGGTGATGCTGCAAAGTGACATATGAGCCGAACTAGAAGAGCGTAAAAAGGTCCCCACCCCACCTAGAAGTATTACGATTTACGATCGGTTGGCCGCCCTGGCGCGGATGGATGACGCAAAAAGATGTAATGTTATCAGATTTCGATTTTAGTCGCTATAACCAGAATACTCACACCTGACCGTCCAGCAGCCCTCGATCGTTAAAAGCATTTGTGTAATCCATCTGTTGTGTCACAGTTGTTTCGGGCGTAGCCTTGTGGGTGTAAAACCAACTACTGCAACACAGATGGCGCTGATGCCCTCAGCGAGGTGGGCTCAGAAGCCTGGGCGCCTTCGAAAGTGGTCACAGTTCTCACAGCGAAAATGCCGGTCATCAGTGAGGTTGACCCAGCCCTTCATGCTGATTACAGACGATATCGTATTATGCAAATTCTGATGGGAAGAAAAATCGCCCTGCCATGCAAATGCTCAATGCTCGGATCGTATGGCTACAGGCTCAACATCAAGCACGTTAACCCTGTTCATGGCACACCTGATAGCGGCTTGAACTTGCCCCTGGCGTCCGCTGCACATTCCTTAATTTTAACATTAGATATTTAAATAATAAAAGTTCAGGTAATTATGCTCCATTATTGTCTTATTTATGCGTACGAATAATCCCAGATTAGGCCTTTTGTGTCGGTGCCAATTAGTCCGCCTGCAGCATTGCTGAGCGTCGAACGTTTATGTCCGAGGTCAGGTCAATGTTAGGGCTTCCTACTGCGTTGATTTATTTCTGGATATTTGTAGGGACGTTTAATCTATATTGGTCACTACCAACATTCAATACCTACAGATTAAACGTCCCTGCGATTCAACAGATCTTTACCCGCACCGACTGTTCGATTGATAGGCATACAACATAGTACACTACATACAAGCATCTTTGGAGCCGTGCTCCCTTTCTGAAAGATTTGCGTTAGAGCACTCGCCCGTTTTTGTATTTTCACAGCCGCTAACTTATAGTGGGAAGGGATCGATCCGATCATTCCTTTTGGTGCCCATGAAAATGTTTCATAAGCACTTAAATTAATATATAATCAAGTGTTCAAATGGGTGCTATATTCGAAATCAGCCTCAAAACTCACACTAAAATTTGTTAAATCAAAAGAGTCGACCGAGGTCATCTGAGGTCGTCAACAGTCTTGACTTAACCTTTACGTGACCTTGACACCCACCATAATCGATGGGGCAAACGTCATTTCGCATCGCACGTTTCTAGCTACAAAACAACATGGTAATATGTGGATAACATCCCTGACTTGTATACATACACCGAATCGCTATTCTAGCCTGATATGGTCTCGAAAAACAGACCACAGGTCTAAGGCCATGTGAGTTGGGTCGTGCAATTTTTAAGGTAGGTATAAAATTGTTGCTTGAGCCTTGAGGTTTTTCGTCGTATTCCAACCCCTCTTAACGCAAATTACTCGCGAAAAAAGCGAGGGGTTCCACCGGCTCACAAACGTGATCAGACTGCTTAATCTGATACCGAGTTCTACCAGCGAGTTATAGGTATACCGGGGACTAACGTCAGTATCTGTTGTGCTCCTCGCTAAACGGTTCATGATTGCACTGCACCAAATGTTAACTTCGTGTACCAGCTGTGCATTATATAAAGAATGCCTTCTGCAAGACACGATCAACTTCTGTAAGAATATTTGAAACATTCGTGAAGTTTTTCTGATGAAGTCGGTTATCGTGGAAAACAATCAGCTTGGTGATAGGTCCGCCGGAAGTCATGTTATTTAGCGGCAACTGACCGTGGCGTTAGGTGTTACTACCGATGTTGGCCCCATTTTCCTCTGCATTGGACTGTCGACGATCACAAGCCATTCCGCCAACACTGCCAGTCTCCTATTTCTGAGACCGGAAAAAGGCAAAGCAGTTTTAGCATATCGTTCTTTCGAACGGCCCGGTAACAGCCCGCTGCAACCAGTCATTTTCACGCCAGCCGTCGGCTCAATACTGTGTCGTTCACACTCGCAAAGTATCTCCACTTTGACATAGATCACCTGTCGTGTGAAAACACGCAAGTGGAACGGCTCTTATACGATTGGAGAAGGGTGCACATTTCACAAAACAATCTGCAAGTCACAAAGACGAGCTTTTTTGTTCACGCAATCATTTTCCGTGACTGCGTTAAGTGACGTTCTCCTCTATATTTACCACATAATAACAGCGATTAGGTGTAAACCGTATTGTCAGTACCGTGTCATGCCACCGACTCGTTCCTATTGCAGTTTTAGCGACGGGCCTTGCACGGAACGCAAGCGAAACAGGCAGGCCAAGCTCTAAGATTATACCTACGGACGATATCGCCTCAACGCCACATTGTAAAAAGGTTGCTTTCAACGCTAAGGTCATAAGATATATGTCGCTTCCCCCGGCCGCAGCAAGCTTCCATTATTGAGCGATTTACAGATGAACAGTGGAGTAGGAGACGGTCGTGCCAAGTCAGTGATGATTGCGGGATAGTCATACACTCCGCGCTAAACTGCACGTGTTAAGACTGCATCACAGTACTGACAGTCAGTGGTCACAGGGCACCTCTCTCACAGTCACCGACTTTTCTTCAGTCAGTCAGTTCTCACAGTCACCGCGTTCACCATAGCCATGACTGAGCCATTGACAACTTTCTTCACAGTAGTAGATCCTGGCCTTAGCCAACGTAGGTTCTCCATATTCACAGTTAGAGAACACCTTCTTAACCCGGCACCGCCTGGGCTATTTCCGTACCCACGACAGCCTGGGGGGGGGGGGGGGTCGGATCCGACCCCCCCCCCCCTGTTATCTCGAGAACCAATGGTCGTATCGAGCCCCGCGAGGCGGCGTTCGAAAGGTCTCTACGAGACCTTCCCAAAGCACTCTTAAGATTTTAAGATTGAGGTCAACTTTCGGGTCAAGGTCAGGTCAAAGGTCAAATTCAGGGGTTTTGCATGATTAGGCTTACGGACAGCGGAATCGATAGCTGCTGCTCAAAACTCACCAAAAATGACCTCAAAGGCCTAGTGAAGGTACCATGTGTGTATAGGGGTCATACTAAGTACGGGTCAAGGTCAGGTCAGGTCACGAAAGGTCACGGTTTTCAATTTCTGCTACATGGGCGTGCGACACATGTTTTATGGCTTATTTTTCACGCCTAATCCGATGGTAATGGTTATATGTGACCCCAAGTCACTGTACTAGTGATAAGTGTGCATTGAAAGCATAAAAATCGTTTATACTATACGAGGGCTGAGAAAAAAGGTCAATTTTTCAACTTTTTTACTTTTGACATAAAAATGCACTTTTCTAGACGAGCTTTGTCCCAGGAATCTAGTGGTGCCATTTGTTTTCACATGCGATGTTCAGAAGTGCCTCTAATTCACGAAAATGCTTATGACGTCACCATGTCCTATGCATGTTGGAGCTATTTTTTACAATTTGGGGGTCAAAAATCAAGATAGAAAGTTGAAATTTGGGACATCTAATGTTCTAATAGAGTTCTACAACATGTACTCCGGTTTTTTTGGAAATTCCCAAAATTTTGGATTTTATTAGCTGTTTTCCAAAAAATATAGTTTTTGAATTTTTAGGGGTGAAAAACGCATTTTATGGAAAATCCGAGATAACCATTTAAAAGAACTCGTTGAGCTGCGTCTTTTAATGTCCTTAATTTGCAATTTGCTTTAAACCCTGATTTTTGGCGATTTTTTAAACATTTACCCCTTTTTGACTAAAAACGCCATGTAGTTACATCACTAAAATCGATATATCTCAAATTTTTTTTGAAATTTTTTCTTACAAATCGCACAGGAGACGTCAAATTGATGGGGGAGAAGGTATACCAAGTTTCAAGTAGATAGCGAAAGTGGTTCATGAGTTATTCAAGAAAAACGGAGGGGGGGGGCTCGGATCCGACCCCCCCCCAGGCGGTCGCGGGTTAACACCAAGCTAGCCACAGGCACAGACACTAGCCACACTAAGCCACAGACGGTTTCAT